AGATTTTCGGGCGGTTTTGTCTGACATCGAACGGTACACGGCCTGAATTCGGACGAATCTGTTCGATATCAGACAGTTCAGACTGTTACCGTCCGACTTTGGATGATGCCGTCTGATTACGTCTTAGTTTGGAGGGTAACATATCTAATTTCATACGAAATTCTTTCCTGGACGTTAACGCTACAATTTTCTCCACCATGAGGACGCAAAGAGCTATTTTTAATTACGCGTACACCGAGAGTAAAGGCGCAGGCAAAAACAAGCGTGGCGACTTGTTGCGTCTCATTGGCTTGGTTCATCTCATGATAATCACAGTGTAGACTTTAGGCCTGTCATAAGTTGTAATCCTGAAGAGCGTACTGCTGATGAAAGCGGGTTTTACCTTAGACCCCTAAGAGTGACTGGCTTCTAATTTCTCCTTACAGTATGAGCCTTAAATCAAATGTTCAGGTCACGAGAATAAAGGAATTGATCACCAATTAAAGAAGATCTTGATTGTCAAACAAATTCTCCTAGTCATTACCGTACAAAATATAAAGGCGACGGAGTGAAGAATATGTATTCTAAAATTTCGATGTAAAGGGTCAAAAGTACTCGCGCTGGCCTTTGTCTCTTGGATGATCAACAATTATCCGTTTGCGATTTTTCCCTCCATATATATAGATTGGTACGTCACGTAATAAATTTTAGCATTGCGTGACCACTACAATTATTAACTCGCCGTCTATTTTCATAGCGTCTCCAATCCGTTCTGATCTGAATGAAAATGTCAGATAGCGGCGACAAGAAGTTTTTGCACGAAAAGGTTTATTGGAAATATCAAGAAACTACGTGAAAGTTACGTATTAAAGAGCGAAAAACCCAAGTCACACTTAACATCGCAACAACAGAAAAGCACCAATACGTAATATTTGGCACAGAATTTATCCAATTCATTAAGTTTACTTAGTCGTATTTGAATATTTAACAGTTTAGTTGACACGTACACAATACAAAAGAAGGCTCATATGAAATTAAAATAATATATGAGTTAGAAGAAGAAAAAATGAGAGATCACAACATCAGGACAGAAACTCAAATCTGTATACGACATGTGACACGTTTGGGGGAGCACTGGAGTTTGTTATTTTCGTGGAATTCAAGAATCAAGCCTTTCGATGCGGTCAAAACATCGATCGATCGATTGATCATTGAAATAATTCAGAGAACAAGTCAATGAATAGCAAATTTATCGCGAGAGATCATTACCCTGAGTTACCTATGGAACGAAGGCGAACAACAACTCACAAGCGCGGCAAGGTTGATCTTTCCTTACCTTCACGCAAGACGGACACAACGAACTCAGCAAATTCCCCATCATGCTCGTCTTGCCCAGTTGCTCAATACCGTTCGTGAAAGGGATTTACAACGTGAAAGGAACACACATGTTAAGTCTGATCACGTTCGAGTACAAGTGGTGAATGAGAATGACGTGAATAAGCAAAATGGCGACACATTTGGACATCACGTGAAATTAACATTTAAAATGTCACGCCACTGAAATGTGTCACGCAACGACGAATGACAGCGAGATTGAAAACGGCTCTTTGTGTTACCATGTACTACCTACAATTTTCAGAGTTGTTGTCATTATTATTGTTTTTAATACTTTTATTAATATGAGAGTACGTCTTACATATACAATTAAAAATAAAATAACAACAGCCGAGTGAGAGAACAATACTGTTTTAAAACCTTAATCACAGAAAAGGGGGCCAAGTGCGCACTGGGCCAGTGGGCCAGGCAGGAGGTGGAGGTATAAGTCCTTTCAAATGACGCGTGCGGCACCGCGCGTGCAGTCCGATAGAAAACAACAGTTAAAGCCGATGAGCGCACGGCCACACAGGTTGACGTGTGCCGGTTCAGAAAAACCCACCCCGGCCCTGCACTCACACGGCTCTGTTTCTTTTTCCGAGGACGTGGATTAAAATTGCGGACTTTCTTGAGGGACCTGTCATCATCTGTCGCCTGGGTGGGGTGGGAGGGAAGGGTTAGAGGACTTAAGTTGTGTCAAGACAAAAATTTGACTAATCCCCCAAGAGGTTTTGTCAATTTGTCTTGACCACTTTCCCTTCCCCCCCCCCCCCATATTAGCTGTTCATTGACCGGTAATTTTTTTTCGTCGCCCCCCCCTTCCCCTTTATACTCTTTTGGCGAAACCAAGAGAATAAAAAAGTTTATTATCTCTTGCGACGACTAATCCCCCCTCCACACCCTCGCTCCCCCTCCCCCACCCCGGTGATAAATGATGAAGTCAAACAAATTGTAAAACGTTTCGCATTACACGATAAATTATGACTTTCTTTATTCTGACTCAAAGCAAACAAGGGAAATTTTTTTCTTTTCTGTGATTAGTATTTATCCTGTGCGCGCCCTTCGTTTGTATCAAGGTACATCCTATTCAACGTTGAAACAAAATTTTCAACACTGCTCATTGAATGAGTTCGCTCCAGCCGGACGGGTTGATCTCGGTCAATGAGTATATATTATTATCAAACACTGGAATCAGATAACTTTCCGGCCAGTATGCAATATTTTTCGCAAGCTAGGAGCCCATTATAATGGACCACGTAATGATGGCCACATTTCTTCATAAGAATCCTAAGGGTGAGGGGATATTCTGTACCTTCTGTAATTGTAATGAATTCACCAACAGGTAATAAATTATAAGAGCTCTAGGGAAGGGAGCATTTAGGAAATTGTTTTCAGCATAGCCGCTAAGTTTAAGACCATTTTATTAAAGGAATGCCGAGGCTTCCCTCCCCAAAGATAAGGTTCAAAGTACAATGTAGGTTAAAGAATGTGGCGGAAACTCGGCGAAGGAGTTTATCATCGAAAAGTCATGGATGTCACAAGTTGGCTGCCTGAAGGGGAGTGGGAGGGTAAATTTGTTTACTGTATTTATTCTCACCGACGCACACGATGGAAAAGTGACTGATAACCTTTATACCATCGAATCTAAAGGAAAATCGATAGAAAACCGTCCAATTGACTGCCAAGACATGCAAATTTTCAATGCCCTGTGCTCTCCGACCGAATTGGCCGACGTATGGTCCAAAGATTAGTAAACATCGCGTTTACTTCTCTTTTTTAGAAAAAGAAACAGGTAAGCTGATCCAGTTAAGCATCAGTCATACTGTCTTCCTAAGCTTGCGTTAGCAGCGAGGCGTTTCGCAATAGTTTTGGTAGTATAATCCATCCCAAAAGTAATCGTACTATTGGTACTAAACTGACGTCTAACAATTATTTCAGTAACCATAGTCTCGCAACCACATTTCAAGAATAAGTCGACAATGTTTTTGTCATTTTGAGTCGAGAACTGTAAATTGGCGACACATTTAACGCTGAAACATTGTGTACCCTTCGAAATTCGGAGGCGGTTTTAAAAAGATACAACAAAGCTGATTGGGTAAAGGTTTTAGAAACTCTTAAGATGACTTATGTTTATGTATAAAATGTTGAAGCTTATGTTGACCCAAATTCCCCGGAGGTAAATCATGCTTCATCAACATCGTAAACCCCATAGCGTGAACATCGAGTCAGCTCGAATTATCTTCGCCATCTACTTGAACTGGGACGACTTCAATCATTGAACTTAATTGTAAGACCATCTGAACGCAATTGTCAGAATTTTCTCTTGCTTGGCCCTATTACCGACTGAGTGAAAGTAAATCTTATTTTCATTTTTCCTGTGTAATCAAAACTTTCCAAAGTCTAGTGATTTTTTAAGTCAGTTAATTATGCTACTGAATCGAGGGAATGCTTTGGGAACTTAGGTCTCATTCGTTAGCCGTTCATAGAGGATGTTTGTGACCACTGACAAAAGCGGATACTAACAGTAGTAAGTCAGGCTGAAAAGTAAAACATTGGCCTGGTGTTGAATACGTATCGTTGGTTTCTGTGTGCATATCTATTAACATTCCATGGCTGAATGATTACGCGACATGTCTTCATGGTGGAGGTGGAAGTGGATTCGAAAGTGGTCGCAAATCAAACTCTTGACGCGCGATTTTTCCTTTGCGGCTGTTGCGAGGTAAATAAACTTTCAAACTTTCCGTTTCCGTCCACTACTTGAGGCCTACTCTGAGACCTTATGTCCTTAAGTCGCCTTTAGTCGCCTTAAGTTTTTTTTTTTAAGTTTATGGAGAGACTGTTGCCAACTTTGGCTTTATTGCTTCAGTCAAATAAAATCGCTTTAAGTCGCCTAAAGTCGCAATATTTTTTGTGTCAATTTTACTAAAGTCGCCTTAAATTGCCCAAAGTCACCTAAAGTTACGGCGATTTGAGGTCCCAGAGTAGGCCTTACTAGTGGTAGGCGCCCGCCTTACGACCAATTCTTGCGTGACCCGATATGCTAATGAATTCATAATCTGTATAATACTTTGTATAATTATTGATTCTCACTTTTGTCAAAGGTCCTTGAGAGCCTTGCTCTAACGGTCACGTCCTCATGCATGACATCACGATTTCTTTATACCTTCTTGCCTTAAATAAAGGAGACCAGACATTTTTTTTTCAAAAAAAATGTCGACAAACGGCCATGTTCACCATGCCCATGTCCTCGAATGTCAAACGTTCGTGGCCAAAGTAATGCGTTTTAAAGATGGTTTGGTTCAATGGGTAGGGTTTAACAGAAAAAAAATGGTACAGGAGTTGACGGATTAGTTTGAAGCATGGAGAATAACATTAGAAGAGATTGCCAAAACTTCGTGATTACGAACGGTAAAAAGAGAGAGCAATAGCCGGGAGAAAGATATTGAGACAATTTCCGGTATCTTGACGAGATAAGACGTTCTAGCGTTGAAATTTGCAATCTAAGGTTTCTCCAAATCTCTTCTTATACGATTAATAACCGGGCACTGAAACGGTAAGTGTAAGTTCTGACTGGAAACTCAGTTTTCTTCCATTAGATTCGCGTGGACACTTCATCAGGGATGACTAAGACACTTACATAGTTTGATATGGCCCGTCTCGATCGGACGCGTCTTTGGAGTATGGATCCCACTCGAAATATCACTCCCAGTTACTATGGAGGCCAAGAGCTACGGCATAAAAGGTTACCCCCCTTGTCTGAGATTGGCCCAGCACCAACTAAACCGGCCAAACCACTACATTTGAAACTCTTGCTCAAAAAGTTTCAGGATATGGTTTTCCTGTCTGGTAGAGATTACTCGATCCCGACTACCGTATACGGTCCGAACATCTACACCACGCTGAAAGGTAATCCAGCCGTCATTTTGCATTGTACGTGTATTATGAAAGGTATGAAAGTTTTTAGATTAAGCTTCAAAATTTAGAGAATCTAACTAAAGTGTTCTACAGTTCTCTCGGGGTACTCCTTCCTACCCTCTTGATTCTAATCTTGGAGAAGGGGAAGGAGGAAGGACGGCTACGCCTTATTTCAAAGCTATAGTAATCAGTATTTACCATAACTCTGAAATAAGGCGTAACCGTTCTTCCTCTCTCCCCTTCCTCAAGATTAGAATCACGAGGGCAGGAAGAGTACCCCAAGAGAACTGTAGGAGGCTTCGAGTCGTGCAAAGAATGTCCATCAAAGGTCAAGAGAAAAATAGCACGATAAACAACTAAACAAATTAAGCTAACATTACCAAAACGGCTAGAAACATCATTAAGTCAAAGTGGTAGCGAGCGTTCGAAAGAAATCATTCCAGCTTTGATATCAGAACCAAACCAAAGTTTGAACAACAAGAAGGAATTTTCATTACATCTCGGCCCGCGTGGAAACAAAGTGGTCGGAACCGAACGAAAACGGGCTCTCAAAGACACAATGAATGCATCAATCCTACATTTCAGGGTACTGTGGAACCAATCCGTAAAGAGTTACCTACTCTAAGGTAGTACCTTATTTGATATTGGCGCAGCTCTACAAATGCCAGCGAAGCCTGATAACATAAACTTCAAGCCTAGAAAGTACAAGGGCATAAATAGAGAATAATACATGGACGCGCGTAGATACGGAATTTCTCTTTAAGTGTTTAAACTCGATAGCTCACGTGTGAGCACAGCGAACGAGTGAGATGTCAAGTTGAACACGAGAAGAGAAATTCCATATCTACAAGCAACCATGTATTATTTTGTTTATCATATAAACACAATAGCCCTTTACTGAGAAGAAAAGCCGACTTCATTAATGAATGAAAATAAATGAATCGACAATCCCCGAAAAACAATCATAGAGTGCGTTAGCGCTAACTCTTAAGATGGAAAAGTGCGTTGAATAATGATTACAAAAACAACAATGGTCGTAATTTTCAACATAAAAAATTCTCATCTATTGAATTTGTCCTTACCGACAGAAGAAGTCTTTCAGGTAAATGGCCAAAATTGGCCAGTGGCAAATTCTCAAATTGTCGGTTTTCATTCGCAGCCGAAATGCTAACACCAAAGCCACTGAATACGTAACTTTCAGTTTTCCTGTTAGTAGATTGGTTCTCTTCCCCTTCTGGGAAGAGTCTGAACCTCACGGTCTGTCAGCGATACGGATTTTTAGTGTTTTAGCCGCCATAATTCGAGAAAGCTCCAACAAACGACTTGTAATGAGAATCGTGAAGGCTCTGCCGTTTATTCATCAACCTGACCGGGTGGCGCCAAAGGCAAGTGACGTGTCAGCTGCTGATTGGCTATATCAACACGCGACTTTTGTCAGGGCCAGAAATCCCTGTATAACACCGCAGTTTATGTGATAATCAGCAGCAATAGGTCCTTGATTGTTCTTTTTTTCTGATCCTTTCAAACCAATCAAGAAAGTTAAATCGAAGCATCAATGTTGTTTGACATTCTATATTCATATACTCCTCGCGTAGAAAATTAAGATGACGTGGGAATTTTTGCGGACCCACCGATGATAACAAAGAATCACGTAAGATTTACCCCTGGAGAAGGTAACCTGGAGAAAATTGGTTTTCGAAAATTCCTTCCCATTTGTTCTATCATCCAGATGTTCCCCAAACACTTCAAGAAAGAAAAACTTGGGAACGAGGGCGAAATAATTCACATATTCGTTTCACGTTAAGATATAAGAATTATCTAACTTCCTTTTTTTTAAGAGAAAGAAAATATTGCCATCGGAGAACTTAACGAAGACGTATCCACCATTGTTGAACCACCCATGATGATAAGGAATCGTAGAGGATTGACTCTTCGAAAAGGTAACCAGAAGAAAACTGGCTTTTGCAAAGTCCTTCAAGCTAAGTTATTCTATCATCTAGATGTTACCCTCCTCCCTTCAAGAAAAAATAATAAGGGAAGCCCGGGCGATAAAACCCGAAATCCAGAAAATCCTAAAAAATAGAGAATAAAGGATTGCACTCTAGGTAACCAATTTAGAACACGGAAAGCTCTCCGAAAAGTGTTTCAACATCAAAGAAAGACGTGGGCAGAGTGACATGCAAGGAAGGCTACTCCTCGCTTAGTTTTAGTTCCACCTGAGAGAAATTGGGTATCTTAACCAAGATACCTATATTATGTCTGATTGTCCACCAGGTGGACAATCAGACATAGTTTGATAATACTCTGATTTAAAGGTTTAATGAATGTAACCGAGAAGTTACAATTCGTAGACCTAACGTTTCGACACTCCTGTCTAGTGCCTTCATCAGGGGTGATCTAATCGCTGCAACAAGAGGTCTTTTTATATGCTCTCCAATTGGCTGCCCTTTATTCTGACGAGGTGTAAATAGGCGTCAGGTAGTAAGGCGCCATCTTCACGATTTAAAAGAGCATGGGCGGAGTTGATATGCTAGGCTTCCAAACAAAGGCGCTGGTAGTAACGTCGATTACAACTACAACCAGTAAAACTCCCGATGAGAAGGAACCAGCGACTAGTTTTGCTGTTATTCCTTACATTCAGGGCGTTACGGAACCCACCAAGAGAATTTTGAATAACAAAAACGTTTAAGTTGCTCAAATACCTTTTCAGACTTTAGGGTATATTTTTGCTAAACCTAAGGATCCTGTCACGAAAGAACAACAAACCAACACTATTTATTCTATTCCGTCCAGTGACTGTGATCACGAGTATTTCAGACAGACCAATCATCAGTTTGGTACACGTTTGAAAGAGCATCAAAAGGCGGTCTTCTTTTGTAAAAAAAAAGAAAATTCTGCTTTGTCGGAGCACGCATGCCTAACCAACCATACAGTTGGGTGGGATAAGTCTAAAATTATCACTACTAATCGACGTTACCATCTATCATCCAGATGTTCCCCTAACCCTTCAAGAAAGATAAAGTGGGGAACGAGGGTGAGAGAATTCACATATTCATTTTACGTCAAGATATAAAAATCATCTAACTACCTTTATTTTTAAGAGGAAGGACATCTTGCCATGGAAGAAATTTACGATGACGTATCCACCACTGTTGAACCCCCCATGATAAAAAGGAATCGTAGAGAATTGACTCCTGGAAAAGGTAACCAGACGAAAACTGGCTTCTGCAAAGTCCTTCAGACTAGGATGTATTATCATCTAGATGCTACCCTCCTCCCTTCAAGAAAGAATAATTAGGGAAGCTCAGTCGCTAAGTTGAGCGGGAAGTCAGTTATGTCTATTTTTCAGGATGTAACTTTTAGAGACTTAGGCCCAGTTGTTCAAAGGGCAGATGGCGCTATCCAACGGAGGTTAACAAAAGACACTGCGCTATCCACCGGATAGAAAATTATCCAGTGGGTAGCGTTATCCACCTTTCAACAACCGCGACCGAGTCGATCCTTTTTTTCATACTTTTTATTCATCTCCTCGTCTGAGAAACGAAAGTTAACCGAATTTGTTATTCAGTTCATCGGATTATGATTCAAAACTACTTAAGTGGCATCAAATCGTAAGTTAGCGAGGTTATTTTTGTGTACGCGTTGGACTTTTCTGTTCAGACAGGATGCCCAGCATTTTATTTTGTTTTTTAGATGAAAACAGCAAAGATGCCACAGCTTCTAAAATCGTAACCAGTAATGGAGCATCACTGAGTGTAAAAGGCGTTACCTTGACATTTCCTCCTGGAGCTGTGGAAGATCCTATCACCATCCAACTTACTTTGGAGGAACCTTACAGGTACTGTTACCTATTTTCTCGTTGTGGTCTCCAGAACGATTTGATATTTGTTGCTCCTATTGTCAACTGTCAACCTAATGGCCAGAAATTCAAAAACCATATCACTGTGGAGGTCACATTGAACGGCAAAAGAGCGAATTCACATGGTGATCTCCTCGTCTTACATGGAACTCGGACCGGTCAAAGCCAAAAGCCAAATTGGGAGGACATCACTGATAAGTCCAAATTTGATTTTGAAACGAAGGAACTAAAAGTTAAGGAACTAAAAGTTAAGGTCAGTCATTTTTCATTGATTGCTGTTCTGGCGAGGTTAACATGGGTACGCACTAAAGAAATTGTGACCCGACTGAACCTCATGCCCTTCAACTACAAGTTGTCTGTCCTCCTCAAGAGTAATCGGCAACAATACCCCTTTGACGAGCTTGCCCTTGCGTTCATGAGCCAAGACACGTACCAGGAGGAGTACTACAGAGATCATGATGATTATGCCATAATGCGGCTCAAAAAAGATGGATTCGAAGAACTTTCTATGGACTGTAGAAATTCACAGGAAAATAATTGCATTTACAACAAGGAAATCTTAACAATCTCAATTCAACTCGGGGAGGATTACAAACCGGCAAATAACCAGCAAGAATGCTTTAAAGTTGTGGTGGATTCTACTGCTTGGTGGAATGCTGGACATGTGATCAAATTACCTTTACAAGTTTCTAACGCGAATTCCAAAATTTTTTATGGAAAGATCCTTGTGAAAGGCGAATATGGGCACGTTCGCGAGAACAAGTTTTGCCAACAAGGTGAGCTTCTGCAGTAAGTCGAGTGAATTTTTAAATTTGAGCTATTTTGGCCCATATGCTTGCGAATGTGTGGCCTCTTACAATCTTATTAAGTTTAATTATAAGTCCTGCTACAAAAAAACTTTCGATAAAAAAGAATCTCCTATGATCTCAAACAAAAAACTGTAGATTAAATGAGCATGCTTATTTCATGATGAAAAAAAAAAACTTTAATTGCAGATCTGTGTGGCTACGTGAGACACGTTCTTGCTGTGAAGAGGGCAATTTTCGACGTTAAGTCCGTAGCTCAAAAGCTCGAATTACCCGTTGAAACTCAACAACAAGTTGTTGCATGTTGGCAAGGAGAGGAAGAACAACTGGAACTTGCAATACAACACTGGAGGGAAAAGCATGGGGATGCAGCAAATCCGAACAATCTAAAAAAAGCCCTTGAGGAGCTAGAACCTGAAGGTAAGTCTCTTCTCTCCGACTAAGTGTATAGACAATAATGACCATAAACTTCTAAGCATGGTCTGAGTGCGACTAAGAGGTCGTTTACCATGATAAAAATGGAAGTTTTTATCTTTCCATGCACAGATAAATTTGCTACCTCCCGAGGAAAATTCACATTCTGTTTGAATTCTTGGTGAAGAGCCAGTATTCGCATTTGAAAAAGGAAAGAAGTACGTTTTTCGCGTATTGTTCGGATTCGGAGGAGAAAGGGCGTACCCAAGGTGCCGCCTCTAAAAGAGCTACGTGCTAGTCGTATAAGTTATCTAATTACAAATTCAGTGCGGAAGAGGAAAAGTATCATATGTTTACATTTTAAGTCACCTCTAAGAAAAAGAGGTGTCGAACGTGCTAAATTATAAACTGAAAACTATTTTCCTGATCCTGAATTCGACGTAGATTTAGCCTAAAAACGTTTTATTGTTGGTCAGTTCCAAGACTTGAGCTACGTGGTCAGGTGTCCTACTCATTGAGTCAAATGTTGGGGACAGAGGATTTCGGATAAGAACCATGATAACTATTTTGTTCTATTCAAGTAACAGTCACTTAATTTCTCTATATTTCTTTAGAATTTAAGGTGAAAGAGAGAGGGCAAATGCACATTGAACACTTGAGAGACCTGGCATTTAAAATCGCAGGTTTAAGACATCAGGATTCTGACCTTATGAAATATTTTGGTCGCGAAGTAGAGATGCTTTGTGGCGCAGTTTTGAGAGACTGCTGTATTGAGAACGCAACCTCCAAAGGAGAGGTGGAATCAGCAACTCAAACGGAGAATTTTGCCTCTGTTCTTGTGATGAAAAAGCGACTACCCGAGAGCGTTGGAAAGATGTGCACGCGTATGTTCTCATCTCAAGAGGATGAATTCATTACAAGCAGTTTCCTATGCATTGTTTCTGAGTTCATCCAAGCCATTAAAGAAATCTTCCGAGAGGAAAAAATTCAACGAACACCGAGTGGATTAAGGGGAGTAACAGAGGAAGCAACTCTCCAAAATGTTACTTCAGTCATTCAAGGTGCTGCTCATGATAAGAATATTTTCAAACTTCTGAGTGAGGTGTGCTACATTCTCGAGATTCTGTGTCGAAACAACAACAACGATGACCGACAAGAAGAATCGCGGATTCAAAGATGGGGTAGTGGTGTTATGATGGGTGACATGTTGGAATTTCTGGAAAGGTTCTTTCAAAGCACTGAAGCACGTAGATTATACAAAAGATTGGATTTGTTTTCCGTCTCTTTGAGAGACATCATAAAAAACCCTACAGATTTTGAGGGAAGCTTCTTGCGTGATTTCCATAATGTTGCAGTAAGTTTGCTGAAGTTCGCCAAGTTTGATCCATCACACCTTGTGCAATTTGAACTAAAGGACCCAACTAACTCGATCAACAACCAGACAAGAGATGACATAAAGTACGATATGTCGAAAGAAATATATTCTCAGCTCTTTTGGATGATCAAAGAGAGCGAGGAAATATTGCAACTTGAGGCCACTGCGCATGTTCACATTGGAGGACATCTTCTTACAATTGGAGCATTCGAAGCTATGATCGTCCTTCCCGAGTCAAGTAGTGAGGTTGTTGAAAATGCTCCCATTACTTCTTTTCCAGTCTCATTCAAAAGTGAAACTGACGGAGACTCAGGCAACCTTCAAGTTACTCTATATTCTACGCAGAAAGACGACATCAGCAAGGCTCTGGAATATTTGCAGATCTTCTCAGAACAAACAGAAATTAAGGAAACCAGCCTCAAACTTGTGAACGTCGCCAGAGCAGGGACAGACGTCAGACTACGTTTGATTCACAGATGGGGATCAGGGACCATAGAAGTTGAAAGCAATAGTATTGAGCCTCAGCCGCTTGGATATTCATCTCCCGAATCTCAACAAAATTTGGAAATAACAGGTTGAGAAAAAAATATTTTTTAAAAATAACTTTGCTGGTCTTCAAGTCTATACTGTTAACCTATTATTGTGACATAAAATGGCTGATATGATGAACTCATACTAAGAAATCAGAGACATAAAACTACCTAATTTCCTTCGTGGGAAATCTCCAATCTAGAAATCTTTGCTCTGTAACCTCTTCTTGTAAGCTAAATAATGCTATATAAAATGAGATTAATCATTTTTCAACCCATTTCAAATATACTGTTTTAATTACTTAAACATTTGTTAGATTCAATGAATAACCAAAAATACCAAACTGCACTGTATATCGCTTTAGATGAGTCTGATCAACCAGCGGTGAGGGAATCGTCACTTTTATTAGGAACAAGCGATAGCTTTGCGGATAACCACAACAGTGGCAGCAACTTCATGACTGGCTCATCAAGTGCTGAACTGATTCCTTTCCCGCCGTCGACAACAATGCCAACGGGTATGTTTTTAGAGATTTTAAATTAATCTTAGGGTGCGTTCCTTTGGTTCAATTTCTGATCAGTGGCGTTCCTTTCGAGCAAATCCATTGTCAGATTAGTGATTTATCAAATCCACTCTGCACAAGGATTTTATCGTATCACTGATCTGCGCGATTTGAATACCCAAGATTATTGAATCACAGACCCAACGCGTTCCTCTGGGCGAAGGATCCGAAATTAATCATTTTGCCCGGCGGTACTCAATTCAAACAAGTAGGTACTTCATATATTGACCGGAAAGATTGTTGGCAATCACTCCACAAATTCTGCTATAAACAAGAAATACACTTTATTATGTAATGTTGAATCGATCGGCCACTGATCGCAGGCACTCAGGGTTCCCAAGTATCCATATCGTAATCAATACTTGCTTCTATAAGTCAATGGTAGGTCTTCCCCTATTCCTTTGTCCATGAGGCAGACCAAGGGAAGTAGCTAACTGGCATTTCAAACAGGTGACATTCGAAAATGACATCGAAAGTCTAAAACAATGTAAAGTTGTATGACACGTTTCAAATAATTCTCAATGGGGCCATGGCTCTGCATCTCCCTACTAGTTATCAAAAGAAACGATAGAAATTCTTCATCTTCACAACTTCTTGCTTCTTGTGGTATTGAATCATCGGCAAGTTCCTCTATGAACGAAACAACAGCTGCTCTACAGAGGAAGGCCATTGTTTTTGTTTTTAAATTTAGCTTGCGATTCCGCTGACGCGCTCTACGATTTCGCGCCTACTGTCATGGTAACTGTTTATCAGATCAGCTCCGTTCCTTTCATGCACCGTGATCTGTGTGATCTTGGATCACAAAATCCTAATCCGTAACCTCCCAAAGGAACGCATCCTTGGGATACGTTCTTTTGGAAGGATTAAGATTAGTGATTTTGATCCAAGATCACCCAATGATCCGTTTTCAGATCCCTCAAGATCAGTAATCTGATATATCCCTGTCCAGAGTGGAATCAATGTAGCAATAATCTGACAATGGATTTGCTGCTAAGGGGAACGCACCCTTAATCAGAATGTTTCAACTGATCAGCGAGCTATTTGCAGTGTGGTGTTGAATAGTGTACAACGATTTCAATGCGTATACGGACTAACAATTTCGTGTCATTGATACTTTATTTCAGTAATAAACGTTAATAACTATTTTAATCACACTGTCAACATGGAGGGTCACGTTTGTGTGGCTGGAGACAACCCAAGTCTAAACGTTCAAGCATCTTCATCTGCAGTACAGCGGTATGTACACTTGCACAGTGGTGCAATATTCAATAATTGTGCTGAGTGTAGTGGATCAGAAATTTACTGCTGATAAGGGAAGGAATAATAATAAGAAGGAAGTTACCAGTTATTAGTTCGTTATCCTTATGTTTTAATTTGTAGCAGTAAGTACTCTGTCTTCTATTTTTCCTCTCAGCTTCATTCACCCAATTTTATTGAGTGTACTGAGATACTCACATTTAGGCTCTTTGATTCAACCACCGACCATAAACCGTAAAATTATATGATTGACTGGCGACCTGGCATTTTTAACTAATTAAGGTTTTTCTGGGCTGTTAGTTACTCTTCACCTTCATTATTTTATAGAACTGAGACAAAAGTAACTGCAGTTTAGGTAACGGGAGAAAGTGCATTGTTTTTGTTGTTTTTAGAAGAGAAATATCTGAAACCATCCTTTGTACTGTTCCTCTTGGTGGTCTGATAATGGTTATGTTCCTCACAGGCGGCCCAAGCTCCAACTATGCGATGATCATCTTGCGAAATAAGAGTCATGATGAAATTTTAAGAGTTTGTATGGGAGTATAAACGACCTCTGATAGGAATAAAAAAATGGTCATCCATTTCTAGGTTTACTACTCATAAGAGAAGCCCAAGGCTGTGCACTCCATTTCCGAAAGCGAAAAATCCAAGGTCAAAATTACCGGGCGACCTCAAATCCAACGCAGAACCCAAGCGCATAAACTGCAGTTTCATTTAGATTTACTACAAACTCAATCTTCCCCGTGAAGCCGACGCTAAGCCGCAGTTTGCTTCAAAAATTTCCAGTTTACGTTTCTAACGGCCCGCGTACGTATTCACCACGACACACGACCCTTATAAACCAGCTTGGTAACCCTGCCTCCTTTGCTAACTAAGCCGTTCTGGTCGATGTTACTTTGACGCGACCAACTGTGCCTCGCCGGGGACCACACCGTCACTTGGTATCAATAAATTGTTTTAAAACCACGGGTGCTAAGTGCGGCTTAGCGTCGGTTTCACGGGGAGGATTGAGTTGATAGCGAATTGAAATGAAACTACAATATGTGTGCTTGGGTTCTGTGTTGGATTTATGGCCGCCCGGTCATTTTGAGCTTGGATTTTTCGCTTCTCGGATCGGGCGTTGTGCAGCCTTGGGCTTCTTTTATGTAGTAAACCTAGAAATGGACAACTCGCTTAAATGGGTTCTTTTCAACAAAGTAAGCGGTCAGATAACAAGCGATGCGTCGTGGAAGTAAGGTGAGGTATTTTTATTTAGAGTTTGACTGTATTTTTTATTCCTTAGAGCGGTCGTAAATATTCCCGCACAAACTGTTGTGATTTCGCCATGACTCTTATTTCGCAAGATGATCATCGCTCAGCTGAAGCTTGGGCCGCCTGTGTGTTCCTGTAAAAAAAGACTTATTTGTTATCCTTACTTCCCATTCTTCTGCTTCCTCAATAATCGCAGAAAATAAAGCTTGTTCGCTAGTTGACCTTTCTCGCATCAAGCAAAAATGTTTTTTAAAAAGTAGTAATTAACTAAACGTTTTAAATGATTCAGTTTTCTAGAGGCTGGACCGGGTGCTGCCACAAACAGAAGTATAACTGAAGGGGCTAATGAAGACTCATGAAGTGAATCGATAGCCTTGGAAAGAAATATATATTGCTGAGTTCTGATAGGGAGTTCTCTTTATCTAGAAATATAGATTAAACCCTTTATTACGGTCGAGAAAAATAGCGACCAATTCAATTTTCTCGTCTTAGAAAAGTAGATGAAATATTAAAGGTGATTTTATAGACATGGCTAGTATATACATCTGTTTTCAATTTGAAAATATAAGTTTATATATAGACCTTTTCTTTTCTCGCTAAAAGGTGATGGACGATGCACCTATATTTCACATCGAAGGAGCAATACCTTTTTTGTTATTGCTCGATGGTGAAACAAAGACTTTGGAAATTTTGGCCGCAGCTATGGCACTTTCCTTTTGAAAAATTGTCCCCATAATCACTATTTATTCTGTCGACACCTTTTTTAATGAAAAAGAAAAGGTGTATATATTTCATATATATTTTCAAATCGCAACGTTTTTGAAAACGGGTACACTGTAAAATTAAAAGAGTTGATTTGGCCCCAAAAATGGGGCCAAAACGAGTGAGTCCAGTTTGGCACTCGCTTAGGGTCAATTCGGCCCCATTGAAATGGGGCTGTTTTTGGCACCAATTTTGGGGCTGAATTGACCCCGTTGTAGGGGCCAAATTGGACCATGTGAAGGGTGAATTTGAAAAATACAGGGGCCACTTTGAAATTTATAGGGGCCAAAACAGCCCCCGAAATTTCAGCCCTCTCACAAATGGCCCCTTTAAAAAGAGCCAATTAAGCTCCAATGTGGGCCACTTCAGAAGTAGAGGGCTCTTTCCTCTCCATGCTGATTTTCCCCCTTACATTCAAATAATGAAAATACACCACATACTTTATCTTTCAAACACTCATTTATTAGATTCTAGATATTGTTTATGTAAAAACCTTTTATGCTACCTGATTTTACAGTTATTAAGAATCTTTATTGTGGTATAAAACAGACAAACTTTGAAACATCATGTGAAAGAATATAACATACATACATATTTAACATCAAGTCAACCATTTTCTAAAATAGATCTCTTCCCTAAATCAGTATACTTCCTAACAGTGCAAGCATTGCAAGAAATTACACCCAAGAGACACTTGTGAGTAAAGCTTCCCTTTTCAATGACTTAGCAAATGTGGTAATGTAAAGCAGCTTATAATTAAGACTGATTTAAAGTACAGAAAATTATCAAAATAAGACAGAGGCAACAAATGGTCCAGTTCCTGCACAAGAATATAGATCTTGTTTGATTTGTGCATATGAAAAACAAAGAGCCTTAGAGCAGCAAAGAGTAGTCTTCCAGTGGATGTGAGAATACATGCACTCATATTGCTACTTTAGATATTATCAAAATATAAACTATCAGCAAGTACTACCGCAGGCATTTGCCAAGTCATTGAAAATAGAGGAAACAGTGACAAGAGGCTACCTGTGCCCAATTTTAAGTAATGCTTGCTCTAAAAAAAGTCAAAATTGCCTTTGATCGATTGTAAGAAAATGTAAATGAGCCAAGTAACCCAATGAGAGCATCAAGAATCTTTTCTTGTGAGAAGTGACAAATTACACTTCCCTCTGTTACTATATTCAGGTGATTGATGTATTGAAGATGTCCAACAATTAAAATTTGTGCTGGACATAATCTCTGATTGCTGAATCAACATCAGCTACTCTATGCAATAAAAACAAGTTTTACAACCACATTAAAATCAAGCCAAAGTGCAAAAAGTGCCTGTAGCCAGAAAAAAAAAAGAATATATATATACACACTTAAGTTAAAGAATTAAAGAGGACGCATCAATTCTCTGTGACTGAGTTTTGTGCCTAAGCGCTTGTCAGACAGAAAAGTTCTGTCTGGCAAGTGCTTAGGTGCAAAATTCAGAGTCACAGAGAATTGATGTGTCCTCTTTAATTCTTTAACTTATGTATACTTAGCTCTGCTACCACAGCATTGAGCACTTTATGCCAAGGTAGACTCTACCCCCACATTTACATATATATATATATATATATATTGTTTTTCTAAAACACCAGAAATGGAAGTGGATGTTTAGCTCAATGTGTGTAATTTGTCTCCCATTCAAGACTTGAAAAACTAATGTATGACTCCCAAAATATCTCAAAAAAAATCAGCTATTCTATGTCCAATATTTATCTAATGGTTTGACAACAGGAATATTTTAAAAAATTGCAAAATCAAAAAAACTAAACAAAAAGGCAAAATTAATACAACCCCAAAGTACTTGAACCTTTGTATCTCGACTTCATTGGCAAATGGGCTCAGAAATTTTAGCTGTTCATCTTAGTACCAAAGTAGCAGTTTTTTGGACTTGTACCTCCAAAATGGTCACAACTTCATTAAATGCATGTGATGACAAACACACAAGAACAAAGGTCATGAACTTAAAAGGTGAGAGTGATTATTTTGCAACTTTTTAGTTTAAGGCAAGAGATTCAGCACCACAAAATTGTCTCTCTTCACTACAAGCAGAAGAGGTGAAGCAATAGATTTTTAGACCATACCAATCCATTCAGTTTCCAACTCAACTTAGTCTAGTATCCTGCTAACCATACAAGGATACTCTGCAATAATTTTTTTTTGCAATCCACTGTTGCTCAGAGTACTTTAGGCTGCTGATGAGATATCCCTTCTGGGTATCCAACTCTACTGAGGCAGAGAACTGTACAAAAAAACAAACAAATAAGCAAATTAATTTGTTGTTGGAGAACAGTAAATTTTTGCAACTACAAAGTTGCAAAATATTTGTAAGCAAACTGTGCATAAGAGGTAAAAGCACAATAATGGTGATCATCAATGATGTATTTTCACCAAACTGTATATGTACTTATCAAGAAAAGAAATCATACCTCTATGCACTTCAGTTTTAGTTCAGTATTCATGAATAAATAAGGATTGCTTGTAGACTTAAAAAACAAAACAAAGAAAAGTTTCTTACCCTCGATGGTAGTTGGAATTTTGAAAGCCATTCAGGAGGAACCTGTAGGTAAATATTTGTTTACAAAAATTGGGTTTACTTTGTTTTATGCCTGGTGCAAGTAAATACATATCTAATATATTTCAATAAAAATAAAGCAAATCTCGCCATTTTTGTAGGTGCAATCCCCGAGATTTGTCATCTTTAACTGACCAACTGGCAGCTTGTGTGTTTTCCTTTAGGATATAATTGAAAGAAAGTAATCGATAATGTACTCTTCACCATCCTGCTTAGTTTAACATACAAGAACTTACTTAGACAGTGCTCAGTTCTGTCGCCTCGTCCGTAAAACAGAGATCCTTGGGCGATTAACCCTTTTCTTTCGGTGCCAATGTCACCTCTAAATTTTCATAATCGCTGATGTTATCTGAATCATCAATCGACGTTTGAACCGTCTTACTCGAAGGACTTGATTCTGCACGCTGAAAGAGTGAGAGCCAAAAAATCAGCTTAAGTGGATGCAAACAAAGACATAGACATAAAAATATCAGTTCATCTTTTCAAGAAAAAGATTAAGAATTCAGAGTGAGAGATCCTAAAATCAGAGAATCTTGAAATAATTTAAATCCATCTTGTGCAAATGCAGTATTCGAACTGTAACCGTCTCTATCTCTCGGCGCCAAAATTTGATCACGTGACTTTAGTTGCGAAACCGCTGAGACTCAACAAGACTCGGGAGAAGAGGCGAACCATTCATGCGTCAAATTCTCTGGTGGGAAAATTAATTATCGTACCGACGAAGAACTCGTGTCAATTCTAGGTTCAGCGTTCATTGCAATCAATTTCTTGAGCTTTAGACACTCTTTTATAATAGGGATGTAGTGCCTTGGTACGTCTGCATCTTGGGCGATGGCAAGGAGATCGTGGCCATCGCAACCGTCTTTTTCTGCAAGATAAGATACGAACAAAGATCAATGGAGCGGTCAAGTTTGTGAATGTAAAGTTGCAGTAAAATATGTTGTTAAGAAATTTCTTTTGCCTACCTTTCCTTTCTTAAGTCTCATTCCATGCGACTGTAGCCAGGAAACAGCCTCTTCAGTGACGAATTCGCTGCTATAATTCATTATTGTTTCCGACGAAGGTTCGACTAATGCCATCACAGGCAGCTCACAATCACGTCTCGAAAAAAAGCCAACGATTAATTCGTTGTGTGACTCGGTGTTCAGTTACGAGAGGAACCGTTGAAAATTTGAACACTTTATAAGGAATAGTATAGGGAACGAAATATGGTCGAAAAAAGAAAATTATTTTTATATTTTCTTTTTTTTTCAAAAATTGCACCTCGTTGGGGCCAAATTGGTCAATCCTACTTGGCTCTTGGAAGGGCCAAATTGAGAAAAAAGTTCCAAAGTAGAATTCATAGGGGCCAATTCAGATTTTGGAGGGGTCGAAATGGTACCTGTCCCGCCCGTTTTAGCTCAAATAGTCCAAAACGAACCTTGATGGGCCAAACTGGCCCTCGAGAAATTGGGGCCAATTTGGCTTTTGGGGTCAATTTGGCTCTTTTCATTTTACAGTGTATAGACAACATATATGCATATATACAATTGATTAGCCTAGAGTCTTGCACCGAGAGACAAGCGATTTATTAATCTATAACACCTCGATGAACAACAATATTTTTTACAACAGCTAGTACATGTAAACAGTTTTAAGCTTTAGAGATCTTGTGAGTACTGAATTTCATTTTAGCATCAAATCGAATTAAGCAACAGATTATCTACGATTATCCTTTGAGGCGAGTGCTATTTTAATCTGAGAATAATTTGATTTTCGACTCTGAAGTTTTGGTAAGATTATTATGGACAGAACTCTTTACCCAGAGCAGGCACGGTTGTTGATGCCTCATCTGCTGAGCGATGAAGTAGACCACCTGACACTACGCTTGACTGTAGAATATTTGGTTTTGATTGATCTGAGACTTCTGAGTGCCGAGTACATGGTTGATCAATATCAGAGAGACTTTTGATTCAAAAGGAACCAATTATAACACGTTGCTATTACCCGCTTCATTAACAATTTGTAGCAGTAGCTTTAACAGGTAATTATTGTCGCATAAAGTATCCCATCTAAGCTGGGTTAAGAAAACTGACATACACGTTTAAGGACCCTGAAACTGGCCAACGATTTTTAGCCGTGTGGTTCTTTAAAAGCCCGTTAGAACTGATTGTGAGCCCCGTTAGCTTGAAAAAGATTTCGAAGCAATTACATATTATGACTGTATATTGTGTATATTTTGTTATGTATCAAGGACTATGTTCTGGCAAAGATTGGGCACCTTCCTTGTCTCAATTCTATCCAACTACAAGCGACTATAGGGCTTTAAGTGTCACACAAAAGAGGTTCTGTCACGATAAGCATTGCAGAAATTAACTTTTCGGGGGAGGGGAGGGGGGTAGTGTTACAGGAGACCGTAGGTTCAAGACAAAACTGAAATGGTAAACTGAAATAAACAACAAAAAACACTGAAGCTCTTTGGCCTGCTTTTTCAATTCAAGAGTCCATCGCTAAAAGCAAAAAAAAAAACAAAAAAAAAACGAAGAATTCATCTTGCTGCGAGCTCAATCTTACCACTATTTTAAACACTAGATTAATTGACTACAGCTTGTATCCACAAAGTTAATTAAACTTCAGTAAACTCAAAGTCATGTTTGCTTACACCTTACTTTGTTTATCGGTGTCGGGAGTCGGGATTGGTCAAATGCCCTCCCCCCCACCCCTCCCTACATCTTAAACGCTTCACTGAAACGAACGAAGCCGTCATTCGTCGTCGATACTTTAGTCAGTTTCCGCTTCCTTTAAAAGCCGCCGGATTTGTCGAAATTGTTTTCCGAGTAGACTCGAAAGCACCGGCGGCCGATTCAATATCGTATGATGCAAATTTCTAGTTAGAAATTTTTAGTTGCAGTTCCGTCTGAATCCTCTGTGAGTAAATTCTACTTGTAGTTTTCGATTTCCATTTGGCGCTCGACCTGAAAAGTTAAGGATTACAGAGATCGACTGGTTGTTGCAAGGGATTTGCCGACATTTGCAACAAAGTAAGTACGCCTAAGAACATTATTTCAATTGTTGATCTGTAAAGTAAGATTTGGTGAATAAGTGATATAGGAGAGTCACAAAAACGTTCTTCTCAGGACTGTAAATACATCGGAGTTGTGGACCTTAAGTTTTATAAATACACGTACTTTACCCGAACTTAATCGATTTGGGAAGTCATGATTGAAGCACGAGGTTGAAAGTTGTTAATTTTCAACAGGTACGAGAATTTACTCTTAACATTGGTCGATTGATTTCGACAAAAGTTTGATATCGCTATTATATGTGATCAACATTATTATTCACGGGCATTATGTTCTGCCGATGAGCTTCAGTGAGTCCAGAATGCAAATTTGTCATGAATCATTGAGAGCCAGTATTCTGACGAGTACAAAAATAGAACTCTGATCTCAACAACAATCTCGGACGGAAGCAAACCACTGACGCTAACTGCGGGAAAATTTAGTTCAGTGACTCGCCGTCGTAGCTCTGTAACGGGAAATCCCTTTTGGAATGAAGTCTGTCGAAAGTAAGCTTCGAATCAACACTCGTGCGGAAACAAAAGAATATTCACTTAGCAAAACAAAATATTTTTTTTAATTTGATAAAGAAACAGCTGTCAACTTCTTACAGCGAGTGAACCATAAATAAACCTACCTTTTAAAAGACAAAGGCCCATCCCTCCTCAAGTTCCTTTAAGATCTCGAAAATTCTGACCCACTTACCTTTTGTTAATGTAGATGTATGTTAAAATTAGCCGTGTTGAAATCAAGAAAACGCTGAAAAATGGAAAATAAAGTTTTGCTCTTAAGGTAACCAATTTAGAACATTGACAGCCCCCCCGAGAAGTGTTTCAACATCAAAGAAAGACGTGGGCAAAGTCACGCGCAAGCAAGGCTACTCGCGTGGAATAACTCAGACCTTCAGTCAAGCAACATATTCTTTTAGTTTCATCAGAGAGAAATTAGATGTCGCCTTTCGTGCATCAGATTTTAAAATTTAATTACCTTCGCCGGTGTAGGATTTGTGTTTCTAGTTGAAAAACCCTGATGGTCATTACCTCAAATAAGCCTCCCATATGTGCAAAAGCGATCCGATGTCAGTATTTTCGATTAATTTCTCAAGTATGGAAGACTTAGGGTTGCTCATTTACTTTGAAAGACATCAATAATTTCATTCGTAACATGTTGTAGCCACTTGATTGCGCTCTTTCATTTTAACCACTTCTGGTGCTGTAGCAGCCAAGAAGCACATTGTTCCTCCAAAGAAAGGCTTCTCAGTCAAGGGAGGTAGTGTCTCCAAATATTTTGGGCGCTCCTCCATACCTAAAGTCTTGCTTGCCCTGAGTTCAGCTCACTGGATACATTCTGTGAGCTACCATGAAAATATTATTCCACCAGTGATGTTCTTCATCTAAAGGTTTTTCTTTTTGTTCTACAAAAGGTACACAGTAGGCATGAACTTGTCTCTGAATGACATTAAACAGGTCAGGAATACATTAAAAAGAGCACCGCCACCAAGGGCTCCAGTGAGCCCTTCCACGGATCAAAATGGAGGTAACAATGGTGCTGTATCGGTGGAATCTGTCAGACAAAGATTTGAACAAAAACGAGTACCACCGCAGAAGCTAAATTCAACCCCATCACCAAGTCAAGATCATGGCAAACCTACAGAGGAAAAGGTTTTATCTGTAGCATCGGCAAGAGCAAAGTTTGAACAAAAACCGAAACCTGTTAATAGGGTTCCTCCTCACTGGAAGCAAAGTGATGGGAACCAGTCTAAAACAGGCTTACTTAGATTGGATACGAACAGTAATGCCAGTGGGCACAAGAACATGGAACCACCACGCAAGGAGCTACCTCACGTTTATAGAATTGGTGCAGCTCCACCCAAACCTGCCAAACCAAAAAACCTAGGGTTCATGCTGAGAAAATACAAGGACAAGATCGTTTTATCAAAATGCTTAACCACTTCGATTCAGGCATCCACTAAAGGTAGGCTGAAAATGTAAATATTGTCTAACTATCGGATGTGTAGATGTATTTTCAGCCCTTTTAGAAGAAGACGTACGCTCTAGAAATCCAATGAAAAAGCATACGACTTCAATTTCTTACCCTCGTGGTTCGAGTTTACAAACGGCTACCTGAGCTTTGGAGAATTATGTTTAAACCGGCTACAGACGCCGCCATTTTGAAAGCAACTCAGTAGCCTAACCGCACGCGGATGACGTCATAGATTGCAAGCTAAATGTTGGGAATCACAACAGGCGGGTTATAAATCAGTTTTGTTTCGGATATCACAAAATCTCATTATTATAGCCGATAATACTTCTGTTGTGACGCAAATTCAAACTTAGTTCATAGCCGTGTTAATATTCTAATGAAGGTGGGCATGGCGAATTTCTGGTAGCTTTATGTTTATCTCAGCCTTTCATCTTATTATGATCTGTCCCCATGCCAAACAGGATGACTAGTCCCGAAAGAAGATGGAGATCCTAATCATTTTCATACCTGAGGGCTCTCCTCGTTAAAAGAAAAAATTATAGAAAAAATGATTTCCTGATTGAACTACTCATTCGTCGTGAATTTAATCATCTAACTCTGAATTTTAGATGACAAATATGAGGACACTGAGGAAATATATGACGACACTGAAGAATTATATGATGACGTGGAATCTGTGCAACCAAGGAACGGAGGTAACCTTTGAAATTTTCTCCCATCTTTGACGTAGACGTCTAATTTTATCCAGGAAGAATTTAATGTAGGTTCGAACCCCTAGCTCTAGCAAATTTTCTGAGCTAAGATTGGTTTTTCTTTGGGCCAGCGTTGTACGGGGGTCTTACGAGGGGCAACTTGAATGAGTTAACCCTTCGCTTCCTAACACCAGTATGTATATTCTCCATACTGGTCTCCATACATTTCCTATAGTGCCGACAAGGAGAATTTGTTTAACAATCAAGAGCTTCTTTAGTTGATGATCAGTTCCTTTATTTAAGTTACCTTAATGTGTGATTCAGGGGGGGATATTGTAAGGAGAAATTAGATTAGAAATAAGGGTTAAGGGAACAGACCTCGCTCAAGGTGGTAGGATTTCGGGGAGGTAAATAACCTCCCTTACAAAATTATAACCTTTGTAGATATGAGCCGTCCAAAAAGGCATGTGCCTTCTAAGGGGGTATGAAGTAGAGCTCTTTTGGTCTGAGAACGGATTTCAGTAGAGTTTGCTATTAGGATTTTTAAGACTTAAAAATCGGGTAAGGCTTTCAAGAAGAAAACGAGAGCAAATGAACGTTTGCTTTTTTATCTCGAAAAGAAAACATACATAAAGTGAAGTAACAAAAAGTAGGCCAAAACATCGAGGGAGGTGACGCCCATTTCACATGCTGTTATCGCCAAACTTATTGTCATTTCCGTTTTTGTGTCAATTACATGTCAGGTTTTGTACATTTCATTAGTTGTATTGTGTACTTGTGGTTGAAGTTTGTATTGTTGCGTAATGTAACGTAATTACGTGGAGTGATTTGTCAGGTTTTGCGTATGAATTTAGTCCTGTGTAAGAAGCAGCGCCGTCGTTTTCGTTTCTTGCCTGTAAAGCTATGCACCATTAAGGTAAACATTTTTCTATATTGTGAATTTATTTGTAAGTTTTCGTTCTCTAATTTTTTCTTTTCCACTCATGTTTAGTACCGTAGGCGTGTGGATGTTTTAAAATAAATGATGAACACAATTACGCGTGACTTCAGTTACACATGCAATGGCATGGATTCGCAAATTTCAGAAACCAAGTCTGAGTTTGGGTGGGGGGAATCAGTAGAATACTATAGAGCCTTATGGGGATCAGGTCAATTTCATAAAGACATAAGCGACATTACATTCTCCCCCCCCCCACCCCTCCCCCCTTGACGATGACTAATGGCCGGCCCTGGATTATGCATGCATTTTGTCATTCTTATTAGGTACGTTATTTCTTTTCCGACAGATGACCAATCAGATGACATTTATGAAGCTGTTTAGCTTGGGACTTGAATTGTTTTTACCGTCTTCTATGTGGCCAGTTGTGGTGGATGAGGTCATAGTCAAACTAAAGGAAAACAATCAATCTTGATGAAAATTTTATTAGAATTTATGCGCTATTTTGAGAGAATACTGAAATGAACTTCAAATTTATAGGCTTTGGTTCATCTCCACCTCAAATTGTGGGTGAACATACTGGAGTAAACAAGTATAAAGACAAAATGTATTATAGAAATACTGACTGACTGTGCACGAGTTATTTACCTTAAAACTATTTTGCTGTTTAATTTCATTTTCGATGTAAAGCTTTCAAACTGGCTATTAACTAGACTATAGACAGCTGCCTGACTATACATCGTGGTAATATCAAAAGATGTAGCAAAAAGATAATTTAACAGTCATATTTTTGGCGAAAAACGAACTAAAATGTATTTGTATTAAGAGCATAGGTTTATAACGAAAATGTGGTGCTGTGTCGGTGGGGGGAATATTACACCATTTAGTTTTATCGACAGAGTACATAAGTAGTTTTTAAAGTTCTACAGTGGCCAATGTACATCATCATTATTATTATCAAGTTGGTAAATAATGGTAATTGAACTGAGTGGAGTGCAATTTGGTCTGGGATCATACGCGTGATTTGCGATCACAAGTATGATTTTAGACCAAAATTGTATGACAAGAAGTTCCATCACCACTTTATTGCATTTTTTTGAGATCGTAAATTCAATCCCCAAAACAAGTTTTGCCATTTTGGTTTGTAAAATATTTCATTGATTCAGTATATTAAAACGGTTTGTAGAGAGTTGCAAAAGTTGTCTCTCATTGTCCTGAAATTTGACTGATTTCTATAATCAAGCCTCAGCTCAAATTTGAGTGGTTGTTGTGTTTTAGAAAAGCTGCGATCTAGAGCATAAAATGGTGCAATTTGTGAATAAATCGCACCAGTGAAAGCCAATCAGATTACAAGGATCACAACTGATTCAAAATGGATATAATAAAACCAAACGTAAATTGCTATTCATCAATGACAAGTCCAAGAAACTCCAAAATTATGCCGGGTCATGTTGCAATATATGTGGTGAAGGCGTTTTCACGGGTACAGGCTCCACTTGGAGAAAAACGTAATACTAATGCATTTGCTCATGTGTAAGGCTGGGTTCTAGAAATGCGAAAGAGGACCCAACCGAAAAAACTAAAAACAAACAGACACAGAGCTTGACAGCCTAATCTAAAAACCTAGCTACATTACTATTCATTGCAATCGGATCCCTGAGGGAAATTAAACAATGTAATACGTCAAGTTTAGAAATTTTAAAAGGTTTAGAGTCCAACGACAACTTTCCAGGCTCGTTTCCTTTTAGCCGGTTGTTGATGCGAGCTGGGACTGTTTATTGTGAATCTGTCTGTTTATCTGGGCACGCTGAAAGTCCCTGGAAAAAAATATAATCTTAACGCATTTTATCACATGTTCCGTAGAGTGCGTTAATCTTCTCAATTGGTTATCACTGAGGGTTAGGAGACGTGGCTGTTTTCATGATTAGCGTAGCGGAATCCGAGACTCCGTTGTATTATAGTCTTGAGAAAGAGAAACTTAACAATCAGTGTCTCACCCCCCCAAAGAGTAAATGTCGGTGGCAGCAATAACTTAGGGAAGCTTGATGAAATGTCAAGGGATTGCTTGTCATGGACAAACATACCCTCTAAGAGGAGTGGCAATTAATACTTCAAGTTTATTCAGCTTGCCGGAAAGCGGGGTAAATTTGGCTGTGATGCTAGACAGCCTCGTATGGAGACGGTGTAGAAATTAGATTCTTAAGTACACAGTCCTTAGTATGCTAACTTGGTGGTGTGGTAGACTTTTCCACGGCAAAATTCGGCCTAACTGTATCCCTTAGATTGTAAGATCATTACAGGTCATAGCAAGAATCTTATTCGGGGGGAGGGGGAGTGGAGACGTTTAAGTCACCTTGCAAGTGAGGGAGGGTGGGGGTAGGGCTTAAAAAGTGCGACCATGATGGGAACGAACGAAGGGTTGCCTTTTTGTACACTTACGAGTCCTTGCTAGATTCTGCACTGGTAAGTCGGGTTCACAACTGGCAGAACGTGTCTTGGATCTTAGTTTCGGATTGCGCGGTGGAAGCCTGGGCGAAAGACCCATCGAAGTGGCATCATTGGAAGAAGACTTTGGACTAAGGAATCCACCAGGGAGATGGTGCTGTGCCCCTGTATGCGATAAGCACTGAGATTTAATTCACACGTGGATGGGTTTATGCATAATCAGTAGTAATGAATCGTCTGGAAAACTAGAAAAAATGGTGCTTCAATTCATGCGCGTGCAAAATCTTTTGTTTTTGCTTTCTTACTTTGTGACGGAATAAATTCATGTGAACTTTTTAGTTGGAATGTTATTGAACGCTTTGCACGATCAGGTAAAAAAATACAAAAGCACATCGGAAATCTGTCAGATTTACAAACTAGTCACTTGTAATTTTCAATTATTTTAGTAGTCAGGGCCCATGCTGGACCAAAGTTTTAAATCTTTAGGCAGTACACTTTCGTCAGAATGCCTCAACACCCGGAAGTCCAGGTGACAACTGTTCACTTGTAGATGACAAAGAAGAAGGGCAACTTGCAATGGACTAGCTTCCACTTGGGAGTGAGAAGGAATCATTGTAACTCTTCATTCTACAGCAATCGTATAGGCTCTAGTTAACCACGTGTTCAGAAATTTACCTTGGATGGCAGAAAGAGGACTCCTTGTCTTAGCTGGTAGCTTCGGAGGTGAATCATTCCTTGCTTGATGTATTGTGCCATTTTCTTCACAAATTGTCAGTTTGCTGAATAAATAAGGCAGATATAATTGCATGGTTATCTGAACCTTACAATTCGCACCCTATGTTTCATCCCTTTAGCAACTTTAAAACAGGAAGATATTTTGAAATATCACAATCATATACTTACTCCGCAAAATTGGGCTGCATTCTGTGAAAAATCTTGAAAAAAAAGAAAACGAAGATAAAACCTTCCTAAGTACAGCTAGTGATTGTAGCTTTACCATAGTTACATACGATAATAAATAATTTTATCAACAGTACCGACGTAATGCAAAGTTAGTTTAACTGTTGAAGCACTAGTAGCCGAAGTTTTAAACGTTCGCTAAATTTGAACGTAATGAGAGTTTGTAAGTTTTCATACATAAGCTAATCGAGACAAAACATTTTGAGAGAACTTACGCTTGGATCGGATCCACGTCTTTCAGTTTGGTGACCTGCAATGTTAGTGGGAAAGAAATAGTTGTTTTCGTACAGTACTATCCAATTTCTAACCCTTGCATCCGTTCTCGAACGGTGCCGTCCCATTTCGGCCATTCGTGTTCTTTTTTAGACGTTACTGTGTGATTTCAAAAGCTTGCGTTCCTTTTCGGACGGTTTCTATCAGTATTGGACCCTTGTGTTTGTTTGCAGTCGGTATTCGCTGATTTTGGACTTAAGCGTCCGATTTTGTACGGTATTGCCTGATTTAATACACTTGAGTCCGTTTTCGGACGGTACCGTCTGATTTTGGACACCTTTGTTCGTTTTTTGACGTGACCGTACTTTTTTGGACGATACACTGAAGTCCATTTTCGGGCGGTACCGTCTGATTTTGGACACCTTTGTTCGTTTTTGGAACGATACGGTCTGACTTTGGACACTCGCCTAGTTTTTGTTTTTCGACGAAACCGTCTGTTTTGGACACTTGCGTCCGTTTTTGATGCTTATCATCTGTTATTAAACAATCTTTTCATCAGTAATTTTTTTCCATCGATATCGTTGACTATACCGTCCGATTTCGAAAACATTTATGCAGATGACAGATGGTGACGCAGCCACCGAACAACACATGAATTTTTTTAAACAGTTACATACCCAGGAGGAATTGTGGTGATTTAACTAAGCCAGGAGATCTTGGTGGTAGCGGTGGGGCAGAATTTGGTATATCATGTATAGAATGTCGCTTATTGGTGAGGCGGTTGGATCTTGGCGGTAAGACCGGGCCTAGGTCACGTGGTAGTGAGTAGGTCGGATCGTCAACTTGCTATAAAGAAGAAAAGAGTTATAACCGTAAGTACGTGCCGTAATTCACGTCGTTATTCCACAGAGAAAGA